TATACCGAATTTTTATATAGCGAATATTTTGGTATAATGAAGAAATTTCGTGGTACAAATATATATTATACAGCTTTCTGAAATCTAAATATTTTTATATACCGAAGGCATTGGATCGGCCGTTTTAGAAACTTTGACTGTAACTTGATAGTAAAATTTTAAGAAAAATTACTTGATAAGTTATTTAACTTTCTTTTTTATTTTTCTTTCATTCTTACCTACTAGTCGTGTTGTCACTTGGACGTGAATCCAGCAATTTGATTGGTTGGGACAAGCGTCCCGACCAATCAAATTGCTGGATTCACGTCCAAGTGACAACACGACCTACTAGTATGTTGCTTGTCTAAACTCATGGCTAAATTAGTTTTAAACTAGTTCGAAATATTTTCACATCCTTTTTTGAGTTTTAAAGAGCAATATTAGGCTATTATTCTATCAGGAGGCTTCTTAATAACATTTAACCCTGTATACAATATCCAAGGTCTTATTCAAAAATTGTAGTTTATAAATTGTATAGTACCCGGGTATTATATTTGGAGTAATATATTCTACAGAGGGTATTATATTTAGGGGTATATTGTATAGAAAAATTTATATAGCGTCTACATAATCACGTTTTTGATAAATTTCGATATAGTAAGTAATGGGATTTTTAATATTTTTATATATTTTAAAAAGATTCCAAAAAAGAATAATTAAATGCGTAATTTTCAAATTTACAAACAAAAAATGCCACGGAGGAGGGAAATTATGTTAATATTTGGAACTAAATATTTTTTGTAAGTATAACGATAACATTTATTAGTTTAATGTTAAATACATCAATCAACCAAATTTGACGATATTGATATTATTTATCACGAAGTTGATGATGGTTTGCTAATGTAGCACACTATTTTTTAAATATAATATCCGAGTACTACGTAACCATTTCCACTTTAAAAAGGATCCGGATACTATTCAGGCGTAGATAATGAAAAGTATCCGACCTGAATCATTTGGGGGTTATTATTTTGGGTGATACTATACACAGTGCAGTGCTAATGGTAGAGCTAATTTACTATTATAAATTTATTGTATTCTTCTCTGGTTGTTTGACCAATGAAAGTATGAGTTTTGAAATCTACAGCCTTATCTTTGAAATTAGTAAAGACGATTATTCTTAGTAGAGGTTGAATCCAGATATCCGTTAGTATCATACATACATATGTTATCCGCTGAATTTAAACTGATATCCAGATCTAACCTCTAATTCTTACCATTTAAACGCACAGAATAACTACTTCTAAGTATTTTACCGCTTCTTCCATATTTTTAGTTTTTAATTGGTGCCGAGATGCTACGCTTATACTTGCCACCAAAATCTCAAACTATCAGTACAAATTTCCAATCCAAAACTCAGCCCCGTTTGGTAGTTTTATTAATAATCTTAATTCAAATAAAATTTACATAATAAATAATGTGTTTGCAAGTTTTAATATTTCCAGTCTTATATCCCATATTAATATGAGCAGCAAGTATATGGTGCATAACATCTAAACTCATCAATAGATTGTATTGCATAAATTCTTAACTAAGAAGTAAATACAAAATTTAATCCGTGAATATGCTCAAGAAAGGTTTTGCTTATTAGTTAAAAAATTTATAAAATATAATCCATTGATGAGTTTAAATGCAGCATAGACTACGCTATAACTTAAAAATTTATAAAATATAATCCATTGATGAGTTTAAATGCAGCATAGACTACGCTATAACTCAAGCATGTAAAATGGTTTTATAACGCGGAGCTAAGTCATAACATTGAGAAATTTACGAAAGTCAAGTTTGTCACGGCAGATTAAATGAGTAATAAAAGGGCTGATGGGAATAGTAACAAGTCGGTGTGCCCGTAAAAGACAGGATAGGATTATTGGCTGAACTTGGTCAGGGTTTCATCCACTCGAAAAGAACCCTGATATAGAAAATTTTTTACTGATGAGCAAAAACTCATTTTCGCATCTTGAGCAACATAGATTTGACGTCACCACTTTATGAAAATTTCAATCAACATATTAGTATGTTTACTATAACGAACTTTAAAATATTACGTCACCGGACACTTTTGTGTGAAAATTAACGAAAATACATAAATTGTAGTATGTCATACTAAATTTCAAGTTTTTTATAGTCACTCTTTAAAAAGATATGTCCGAAATATTATAATTCTAAAAACTTGAAATTTTAGTGTAACATACGTCAGAATATGCGGCATTTATTACATTATGCCATCAAAGTATTCATCGTTATTTTATGAAGTAAGTAATCTATTTTTGAAATAAAGTTTTTTAGGTGTAATTTCCTAAAACTTGAAAGTTTAATATTGCATATTTCAGAATATTTTGGAACTGTAAACTTGAAATGTTGCGTCATTGACTTACTAATTATGGGCTCTATGCGTTTGTATTTTAACAGTAATCAAAAAAACTTGAAATTTTAGTCTAACATACCTCAAACCATATAAAGCACTATCAATAAAGTTCCAACGACAATAGTGCAATTGTTGTTTTTTGACAGTAATCAAAAAAACTTGAAATTTTAGTCTAACATACTTCATTTAAAGCACTGTCAATAAATTTGAAACGACAATACTTTTTTTGTGCATTGTTGTTTTTTTGACAGTAATCAAAAAACTTGAAATTTAGTCTAACACACTTCAAACCATTAAAGCACTATCAATAAAGTTGTAATGACAATACTTTCTTTGAGCAATTATTGTTTTTTTTTATTTTGAAAACTTGTATTTTAGATAGTGACTTTTTAATGAATGATTAAAAAAACTTGAAAGTCTAGTATCATATGTTGAATCTATATGCTTTGAACATTAATACAAGTTTTTTCCCCGCGAAAAAGTGTACGGTAAACACTTCCCCCTTTGGTAATACAGTATTTTGTGGGACTAAAGTGGAAATTAAACCTTAATTAGTCCAAGCTTGTTTAGCACAACAATCGGTTTTCTGTCAAATGAATAAAAAAGATTCGCGATGCAATCTCATCGAAAAATTCAAGATAACTTTGAGGTTAAATTAAGGTTCAAATCTTCTGCAGATGAGTACACTTAGTCCGCGGATACGTATATATAGAGAGAATAATCTGATACGAGGTCTATTATTCGTAATAGTAATGACTTGAGTTAATCGTTGATTTCGTTCAAATAGGTAATCCGAAACTTAATTTACACGATTTTTCTAGAAAATATGTTACATATTTGTGTAAAATGTACGCCAATTGCTTCGTTTAAATTTCCGGTCCATTCATTTATTTACTTGTGGTTTTTACTGTATCTTATATATTCGTCATAATGAGTGAATAATTAATAAAGTTAAACCGACAAGTTTAATACATAAAGCTGTGTGATAAAAAGCTTTAACGTTGGGATAAAGTTGCGTTATCCGATCGACCGATCGATCGTTTCTATGAGGATCATTGCTAATTGCACGATGTGGATGAGTCATAGAAAAATCAAATAACCGCGTATTTAGCCAAATTCTTAGATTTTTATTGTTTATTCTTGAATTATTCAAAGCAAAAACTGAAGGGAGAATGTGTGATGAGGTGTTTAAGAGTGAGAAATGATGCTTTTTTGGGATGAGTAGTAGTTTGTTTTGCTTTTTTGTATGGGAAGTCGATATTTTGTAATATATAAAAAGGAAGTAGAATTAAAAAATATATAGAGAATAAAACAGAAACAGTTCCAAAAAAAAAAAACTAAACCAAATGTTGAATTTCACGCGGGATAACAAAAATACTTGAGACTAGTGTTAACCAATCAAAAACAACTGATACCGAGTAAAAAATAAAATATAAACGAACGAATAGTTGGTGGTTTCTTGGAGAGAGGAGTAAAATAATTGCGGCTCATAAAAAATAAAAGAATAAAAGAAGAGAGAACAAGAAAATACTAAAATTACAAAGAAATAAAAATATTAATTGATACCAAATACAAGACGGCTACTTATAATAATTATGACTATAACTATAACTATAGAAACTTAGAAAAAATTAAATTATCTTTTTTTTAATTTCCTATTTTCCTTCTTTTTTTCCCTTATACGAAAGCTTTCTCCTTCTCATCCCCAAGACATCTCCAAGATGCTAAGTATTAATAACCAATCAAAAAAAAATGAAATAACGAGAAAAAATTACACGAAATTTATCAAATAACTAAAATCCGAAAAAAATTGTAATAATGTTGGATTTGTTTATAAAGAATTTCGCCCATGAAAATAAAAATGAAAAGGAGGGACAAACGTATGTGTCAATTGAATTTAGTGTATAATAATCAAGTAATATCAGAAAGAGTGATGTTTAAAGAAAAGTTGAGTATGTATATGTGCATATTTACAGAAGAAAAGAAACAAAAATAAAACTTTTTTTGCAACGATAAGGGAGTTGAGAAAATTTAAAAGGTTCATAAAAAAAGATCATAGAAATCATTGATGTTTTGTTTTAGTTTTTTTTTTCTTTTTTCTTTTGTTCCTTTTCGTATTTTCATGAAGATGCATATGACACATAAGAAAAAGAAACTTCTCAAACAGCTCAACTTTAAAGAAATGAATTAATTTACAAAAAAAAAGTGAAACTATACAAAATATTACATGAAGAATCCATATGAAAAAGGATGGAAAAGAAGGGAAGGAGAATTAGGACCAAGAGTGTGAGTCACCTTTCTTTTCATCTCGTGTAGGCTTAAAAAGAAATAAACAATCGTGTTTAATAAGGGATTTCGAGTAAAAAGGGTAGTCAACCTTTTAATATATATATATATGTGTATGTATATATATAATAAAAGATATATACCAAAAAAAAACTATATTACAGAATAACCGACAAATAATATATATCCGCCCAAATGTGCTAATAATGATAATACTCGCCGAGTGAGAATTAAAATTAGCAATATAATAAAATAAAATAAAATAACCCACGCCCACTTTGCTAGTATTATTTGTGTTATTTTGTTACATCCAATTATCCTCTTGCCTACCATATAAATAAGGATCAAGCATTGAAGCATTGGATGGGTATCCTTCACTTTTTACTAACGATGTATAAGGAGGATAGGGATTGAACATATTACTATTTGTTAATGCCCCGTTATGGTTAGGTACTCCGCCTGCACTTAAAAATGGACTTGCTGCGCTTAGCGGTGGTGTAATTGGACCATTACTTGAATTGTAATGATTTTGAGTTATCGGTGATGGTGGCATAGTAGGAGATGGACTGGAACTGCTGAGTGGCGGTGGTGGATGATGTTGGTGTTGGTGGTTTGACGAAGTTGACGATGAATTGTACAAATCCGACGATGTTAAATCGTTATAAGAATTACCATCATAATAAAGATTATCTTGATTTTCAGATTGTGGCGGGCTCATTGGATGTACATTATTCATTGTGGTTGTGGTTGACGTCGTTGTAGCCGTTGAAGGAGAAAATGCAAGCTGATTATATTCGTTTGTCGAGGGATAATACGAATTATTATTATTATTATTATTGTTATTATTATTATTACTGTAATGTGAATCCGATGAAGAACTGCTTAATTGATGAGCATGATGTTGTTGGTTATGTTGAGGATGAGGATTTGCTGTCATTGGAGGAGGTGACGAGGTCAACATACGTGATGTATAAGTAACTGGCGGAAATTCATTTGAAGAAATTGGAGGATACGTTGATTGTCGATATTGTTGTAATGGTTGTTGTTGAGGTTGTGGCTGAGGCTGTGAATATCCTCGAATCGATGGAAATGGTAATGTATTATGATTACTATTATTATAATTATTATTAGTACTATTACTATTATTGTTGTTGCTGTTGAAGTTGTTACTGCCATTGTTATTACTATGATGGTGATGAGGAGAATAGTAACTTGACGATGAATTATTGGATCCACGATATCCGTGAAACTCGTTAGTATTCCCGTTAAATTCCATCTCCAATTTTATACGATTTGCATTATGATATTCCATTGCATTATATCGATTATTTTGAATCGGCGGGCTAAAATTACCATTATTGATTTTTTTATTATTACTATTATTATTATTATTATTGTTGTTATTATTATTATTAGTATTGCTACCACTGCTCTTAACAATATTGTATCCATCGTTGTTGTTATTGATAGTTGAACATGGGCATAGTGAAGAATTATTGTTGTTACTGTTGTTGTTGTTATGATTTAACGATGAAATACTTGAAATACTTCCACGTGGTATAATAGAAGTAGAGATTTGTTCTTGATGTTGGAGTAACTGTTGCTGATCATATCCTCCTTCAATCGTTGGATATATTCTGAAATTTTGCTTGGATAAAAATTCCGGCGATATTTCCAGTGCAGCTAATTGAGGATCCTGAGATGGAGTTTTCAACGCACAGCGTAACACGTCCTCCTTGTTATAATAACTGATCATGTGTTGACTGACACCATTCACTACAATTGACATTGTCTTTTTGATTAGTCCATTTTTCTTGAATCGATAAGAATTCGTCAGACTTCCAACTAATGCTCGTTCTCGATTTTTATCTATGCTCGTACTGGCAGCACTAATGTGATGATGAAGACTGTCTCCTGAATCAGATTCTGTTCGTTGTCTTTCAATTGACAATGGCGAGGAAGATGGCGACGACGACGATGACGATGATGATGAGTCTTTTCTGCTACCACTATTTGACCTTTTATCCAGTTCACGATAAATCAAAAAATTTCCTAGAATTCGAGATGGACTCCACACAAGACCATCTGTCCAACGTTTGATCCCTGATTCCCGCTCATCAAATACGAACACACTTCCAGATGTCACAATTTTTCGTTCTTTCTCCTGGAGCCTTCTGCTTACTTTTGGCAGTATTCCTCGTCGACATGCTTCGAATATGAGTAAAGTGTCTTGAGTGGTTTCAATAAATCCGTTAAATGTAACTTCAATATTACTCATTTTTATTTATTATTTACGGCGTGAATATTGTCGTCGTAATCGTAAATATTAAGAAACTTCGTGAATAAAATTGTTTATCTCAACCAGAAAATTGAATTTTCGTTAATAGTAGTCGTGAGCGAATTTTTTCCGTTCGATAAATCGTTTGGTTGTCGGTTTTTTTTTTGCTTTAGAAAAAAAACAAAAAAAAAACGAAAGACGTAAAGATATAATTTTAAAGAGAAGTTCCGTTACTGGAAATTATGACACATGAATATTTATTGAAGACCAATATGGATGTTATTGAAGACCAATAAGGAATTTGCATAAAGAAAGAAATTTTGAAATGATAACGTTATTTTAAAAATTTAATAAAAAATAAAAAATAAATTTTATATCACCGGCTAACTTACCGACTATTGACCGACTGACTGACTGATTGATTAACTGACCTTACGCGACTTTCTTAGATTAATAAGAAATATTCTGGCACATATATTTTATATATATATGTATGTGTGTATGTATACATGTATATATAAATATATGTGTATATATAGATGTATAGATATATATATATATGTATATATGTGTGTATATATATATATATATATATGCTATTTAAATCTTAATTGTGAGTTTTTGTAAAGTTTATCAAATTATTATATTATTTATTATGTGTGAGTGTGTGTATATGTGTGTGTGATATGTTGCGTACACGTGCGTTAACGTTTGGGATCTTTAAAGTTGTTGTTATCTGTTGTTGCCTTTGCTGTTTTGAAGTTAGATAGTTCTATTATTATTTTTATGACGTGACGTGGCGTTATTTTTTAATTGTTATTATTATTTTATTATTTTATTAATATTTTATTGTTATTTATTATTTGAAAAGAATCGTTGCTTTTTTTCCTTCTTTTCAAAAAAAGATAAATTTTGATTTTTTTAGGGAAAATAAAATGATTTATATGTTTTTTTTATTGCTGTGTTTCGTTTATTTATTAATTTGTTTGTTTGTTTGTTTATTACTGGTTAGTATATGACTGGTTATTTAGTCGGTGGTAATTTTGGTTGGTGAGTTTTAATTTAATTTAATTTAATTTTAAAATTTTTAATGTATGATTTTTATTTTTTATTTTCTATTTTTTTGGGATTATGATATTCGTTATATGTATTGATTGTATATATATACGTACACATAGATATATATATATGTGTATATGTATATGTGTGTATATATATATATCGATATATGTGTATATATCGATATCTATTGTTGGCGAAGAACGTCGTGGTGAATATTAATAGAGTAACGGTAATGATTGATTACAGTGGGAATGTTGATTACGATTATAGAGAAAGATATTGGTAGAGGTTGATTGTATTTTCTACAAGAGTGGTTGATTTTGTTGTTTTATATATTATTTATTTATAATAACACACCAGTGGTACTATGTGTATAATTACTTTCTTAATTTAGTATGGTTGTTATGCTAGCAGGTTATTATAAGCATTTAGGTAGTTGGTTAGCTAGTAAATAATAGTTAAGGAGCGTGACACGACCAATTAATAATAAATGATGGATTTACCGACTTTTTTACATATTTTCATGTTTCTAATTCTTGTAACCGTGGCACAAATGAAGAAAAAAAGCGAAAATGAAAGTGGAGTGCAATGGAATGAACTTTTAATAGAAGTAATAATAGCAGAGCTAATATGACACAACACACAAGTCATGCACCGAGCTGCCGATGCGATGCGTGAAACGAGACGTGACACGGGCGGGTGTGTGCACAAGATATCTTCTGAAATATTTACGAGACAGAAAAGAGAAGGATGTTGTTGAGGACGAGGGAAGGAGATGACGATGATTCCATCTTCGCTATTCTACGAATGAAATGGGGAATACTTGTATGTGTGCGTGTGTGTGTGTGTGTGTTTTTGTTTGTGCCTGGTCCTTCTCGCTCGCATTTCTCGTCTTCTCGTTTCTACTAATCAACCAAGTGGAACAAACTGGTTGCAAACCAGTTTATTTTTCTATTTATTTTATTTCGACTATTTTGGTTAGCGCAGTTCATTTGGTGTATGCGCAGAAAATTAGTCAAGAATATATCAAATTACACTAAAAAATGACATCGAAGGCGGTGCGGGCTAAAAATGTAAAAAAAAACACGCGACGACCAACGACAGTAGTCAAGGGATAGCATCCTGAAGCGAGATAAGCAAGCAAGTGATGATAGATGAGCAAGCGACGAAATAGAAATAGAAAGAGAGGAAAACTCGGTGTGCCTAGTCAAGTAGTTGATAGCTGGTTAGTTACTGGTGTATAAATGTGTTTTCACAAATGTTATACATCCAATTATTCATCAGCTGCACTTGATGTGTGTGCACGGAAAAACTAGGTGCGTGGGTGCTTATTTGAAACATTGGATGATTTTACTGATAGTCGATTAAAGTTGTTTGAAGAAATTTTCTCTTTGCTTCACCAAAATCATATTCAAATAACAAACAAAATATCTCAAATGAAAAATATAAATATACGGGACAAAACATGACAACAAACAACAGGACAACCGAACAGCAGAACAACAGAAGCAAAAAAACAAAGGCAAAAAAACACATGATGATGAGCAAAAAACAAGAATAACGACATAAGCAAAAAAAACAAAGGCAGACAACATGACAACAGGATGGGACGAATTACGACAGCAAAAACAAAAATATTCAAGAATAATGAAGAAATGAACTTTACAATCAATTTTTGCCGAATATATTTGGTTTGTGTATATGTATATTTATATTTATCGTTACGTATTTATTCACTCTTTCCATAATATTTAATTTAGGAAATTAAGTAACATCCATTGTTGCTAACGACAGTCCACTAAGATTCTACCGCTATATTAAGTGTGTTGCACACATGATTAAAGAGGGATTTTTTAAGGGGGAGGATTTTCAGCTGTTGTGAATACGATCAAATGAGATGATGGTGATTGCGAACGATGATTCGATTGTGTCAGCCTAAAAGGAAAACCCATAAATCTAAATTTTATACGATCTTCGCACATGTATTCAATTAAATTAAATTTTAAAAATTTTAACAAGAATGTTCAAAACCCAAGACGAATGACGATGAATTTATCACCAAAACCTGCTAATAAAGTTCGAAGTTATTTGTTAACTGTATGTTTGGCGAGTTTAAGTGTATAAAAACAAAAATGAAGATATAACGTATGCATATATAATATGTGCCAAGTATGCATGCATCAAGCATATATAAATATGCTGTCTTCCTGTACGACACATTTTATATTGTTTTACAGTATATATAGTTATATTAACTCACTAATGTATCAATTAATTAATTTAATTTACTTACTCTCTGCTTTCCACCAATAAATACTACAAGTATTAGGAAAATAAGGTGTAACCGTTTTGCAATTTTAAATATTATGAAATATTCAAAATACATGTATTGATGGAAAATGAAATCGACACTCCTTCCCCGTCTCTTCACAATCCAGGGACACTATCACAAAAAGCGATACACGAACAAACGCGCGGAAATGAAAATTCTTTGAACAAATAGAAAACAGAGTGATGGCTTGATATGGTCAAAACTTTTATATATCTCTGTGTATGCATGCATACATGCATGCATGCATGTATGTGTGGATGGATGGATGGGATGGATGGGATGGATGGGATGTATTTATGCAAGTATATACATGTATGCATCTAAGTGGTTTCCGGAAAAAAAATTTTTGGACATCGCGGAGAATACGGGTGAAATAGAATATGTAACAGTAAATACATGTAGCAAGGGATGAATATTAGAAAATTCATTCTTCCAGCATATTTTTGTTAAGTTTAGTCAATAATAAATCAATTCTAACCAATGATGATGAGTCTACCAATGATGATAACTAGCAAATCCTTTGATGATGGTTGTTGATTCGTCAAAAACTGGATATTTTTTCCCCTGCACTGTCCTCTCTGTTCTGTTTAGTCTCTCAACTTGGAGGCTTTGCAAAACAATAAACTCTCCAAACTTAGGATCAAAAAAATCAAAACGATTGGTTCGCTTGATTAAAGTGTGTGTGTAAAGTTGAACAGAGTCAAAATTCTACCTAGTGATTAATTTGATGCGTGTAGTTGGCTTAGAGGGTGAAAAAAAGAAGTTAGTAGCAGTGAATTTAGTAATGCCGAAACTTAGTGAAATATTCTACCGTCTTTTAGTAAAATTAAAGTTTTTGGTTTGGGACGGAGGAATAATGTTGATGATGGCGAAAAAAAAACTCGATATTTTGTCGTGTAACCTGCTCTTCAACACGTCATTACTTACTCTCTTATTGTTGTCAGGGTAATTGATCACGACATGGAACATATATAATGACTGATGATTTTTGTTTTGCATATTATTTGTGATGGTGGGTGGTGATGTTTTTTTCATTAACGTTATTTCGATTCTAATTAGTTTTTATTTTGGATTTAATAATGGTTATACAATACTAATTAAATTATTTGTGCAAATGGCAGAAAAATTTTATTATCCGTGTTAGTGATCATAATGAGAACCGTTCAGATGGGTATTTTATTCTTCCTTGCTTTTCACTTTTTTAATTGGTTACCCATTTTTCCCGCTCAAGCATCAATCAATCGATCGACGCTAGCGAAATTTGGGTCAAATTTTCGTTAATAAAAAACATCACAATGATTAAATTTTACAACTAAACTTAAAATTCAAAATCAAGAAAAAATGACAAAATCTTGACTCTAATCTTGCAGAAAAGGTGGAAAACATTACTGAACACGCGAGTCACACGATACTTTCTCACACTTCATATCCTTTCTGATAATAGTGTGTAATGTACATATGAAAATCTATCTCTATCTCTTTGTCAAGATTAAATTTTCAGTTGTTCTTTATAATATATTCTATTTATACATGTACATCATCATCACATACGTCAAGTTTGATGTTCGTTATCTGGTTTATTTTTATCAATATTCTTTTTGTCCTATATAATAAAGATTGGCAATATATATATATATATATGCTTTTCGTCTTATCGCATACAGTATATAGATATAGTAAAAAGATTCATTTCTAAAAGAAAATGGGACCAAAAAGAACGTCAATGTGTCGAATAATAGGTGATAGTAACTGAATGATCACTTTACGTAATAGAATATCAGATATGCAGATTATTATGCGTATCTTTGGTATATGCCATGATATCTTGTAAAAATGGGTTATTCTGTGTTTTTTATAAATTATTAGGTAATCAAATTGATGCATATCTTTATTGTGGGGTGTGACAAAGGAGAAAAGCGAGGTTTATGGTATAGTAGATTAGATAGAATATATCGGACATCGTTACAAAGAAAGTAAAGGACTTTCTCTTTCGTTCTTTCTCCAATTTTGTTTCACTCCTAACGATAAGAGTTTTTATAATAATAAAATATCTCCGTCATTCTTGCTTTGTTGGAATATTACTATGTCGGTTAAAACGGTGATTTGTCATCATCTACATTTGCCTTGATTTTTTTATTTGTCTATTTAGGAATTATATAGAATCCCGTATTCTCGGCAAGTGAAACGATAATAATTTAATAGAAATGACCGAATTCTTTACAAATAATGTAACTAATTTCAGTAATAAGTATGTTTCTTAAAAAGCAAATAAAAATAATTAATTTTGCGAAATTTAGGATTTAATAAAATTTCAAATCGGAAAGCTCGTGTAAAAGGGCGCACAAAGAAAGCATACACAGAAATAATCACTTGACGGTTTTATTAACATATATAGTAAAGAGCATTTAAATATGGGTCGTCAATATCTATTATTTTGTTAAGCGTCGTTTATTTAATCGACAGTTTTACTAGTCAATTTATATTATACCTATTTACCAGGCTGTTTAGGTATATTGATAGAACCTTGCCAAATATATACTAATCATGCAAATTTGTAAATCTTGAAAATGCTATGAATTTCGGGCAAAATGCGCTCAGATTTCACGATCACAACTTAATAAACCTGATGCTAGTCCAAAACTTTTTTATTTAGATCTTGTTAGATGTGTTTTTCTATTTTTACAAATGCACTTTTCCCTTTTGTTCTTGTTCATTTCATGTTGGGATGTGTTTTCTATTTTTACAGATGCACTTTCTCCTTTTGTTCTCATCTCATGCTGAGATTGTCAACACATTCAATCAAATATTCAACAACTATAACAATTTTCTAAAAATATTCTTGAATACAAATGAGATATTCCCAAAAAAACGAAATAATGTTCCAACCTGCATAAATAAATGGTTTAAGTTTGAATTAAAAACAATAATGAATCAGAAAAAGCGAAATTAAGTAAAACTCCTTAAACACTTTTGAAAACTTTTCTGTTAAAGAAAACATGGAGCGTTATGAAAGATTAACCTATTCGAGAAAGACTTTATTTAGAATATTGTTTTTGGTTTATAGCATACCTGTACACTGAAACTGGACATAGCAAAGGGGTCATGCAGCCGTTATTTTCAGAAATTCGGTTTACACATACTATAACTAAGGGGTAATGTAGCCTTTTTCCTCTGTTATATCCAGAGATTCGTTTTATCCAAGTTTCGCTATTTATATATAGTGGCAATCAAAAGAAATGCAATTTACTAATAAAACATAGTAAAACGCGTATTTTTCTCTCGATATAAACGTTTTAATTTTACTAATAAATATATTTTTCTAATTACAAAGTAAATTGATAAATTTTTATTCTAAAAAATTAATTAATTTACTTTGTAATTAGAAAAACTTTCTCAAATTAAATCGAAAAAATCCGAAACTTTTGTAAAAAAAAAACACGCGTTTTATCAATGCTATCACTATCATGGACTTTTAATATTTCTAGATATTTTGCGAAGGTTTTTTTATAACTCGTACATAATAATAGATCATCTTGATGCATATGATCTGTTTGATTATCTTCCCGACCATCGGGTAGCTATTTTTTGTTTCTTTTGGTGTAATTTTAGTTTTCAGACATGCAGAAACCATCAAAATGGAGTGAGTTTCTAGATTTAATAAATATAAACGTCAAGAAAATGAACTAACAATATTTTTGAAACGATAAAAAGACGTAGCAGATACCAACCTTGCAAATTTTGGTAGTAAGCTCGAAAAAGATGTTCACCATGCTGCTGCTGAAAAAGAACAGGCGTGGGCTGACCCTTCTATCGGGGTAGGCAAGAACGCGCAAGTATTATCATTATCATTATTATTATTTCATTCAAATATGTAAAGGGAAAAATGGGATTTTTATTTATCTATTATAAATGCGCGTGTTTATCCGTTTTTTTTATCCCGTTATCACATTATTCCATCTATTTATTCATTAACAATGTAATGACATTGCGATTTGATTAATTCTGTTAAAGTGGACTTTGGGTATGGCGTATCGAACAATTTCATGTGAAGCCTTGGCCAAAGGATAAATATGGAAGATTTTATTCTGGTAAAGATTAATTGGAATTGATTGAAATTTGAAAATTTTGAATGACATTTATAATCTATTGGTTATTATTTAGGTGATAGTTATATTGTCCTTCATGTAAGTTGGAAAAGGTATGATTAGTAAGGAAAAGGTAATCATATATCTTAATCAAGACGATACATCGATAATTTTAGTCATACAGAAAAAATAAGGACAGCGAAGCTTTATCACATGATATTCATTTTTGGCTTGGATTGGAGAGTTCGCAGGTAAAATATGATAAAAAGAAACAATATATTTTATTGCTCTAAACTATAGCACGGTTGTATTAATTTGATTTTTATTGTAGGATGAAGTTGGAACAGCCGCCTATAAAACGGTTGAATTGGATGATTGTATAGTATAGTATTTTTATTATAGCATTATTTGGATTATCCGTTTCGTCTGGGGTGATTTATTTCGAATTAAATAAATAAATATATCATTTGCTCTGGTATATCGTTTTTCTCAGTCCTTGGTACATCTCCAACCCAACATCGCGAGGTATTTATATTTTTCCATCCAGTAACTTATGACATTTATTAAAATTATATCTAAAGAGCTTACAATTACAATTTATCGTTATCAAACAGGTTCAAGGTCACGAATCCAAACTATTTTTCTCTTATTTTAACCGCTTTATCGTTGAAGAAGGTGGGATTGCCAGCGGATTCAAACACACCGAACCTAAAACATACAGACCACGACTTTTAAAACTAAAACAAGTTGGAAGGACCGTGGTAATTCGCGAAGTGCCAAAAGATTATCGCTCACTTAATAGCGGAGACGTGTTTGTACTTGATACGGGCATCACGCTATATCAATTGAACGGAAAGAATTCTCAGGGCGCTGAAAAGGTTAAGGCCGCGGAGTTTGTGAGAGCCGTTGAGGCTGAAAGAAATGGGGCCACAAATATTATTGTGATTGGTATGTGGATAATTACATTTTTTGAACATCGTCATGTGAATGATCGAAGATCATTACTTACTATATAAAAAATCTTATTTTTATAGATGAAGGTGATAGAGAAATGCCTAAATTCTGGGAAGCACTCGGTAGCAAAGGTGAAATTAAATCTGCAGATGCAGACGTTGGTACTGAAGCTGCACATTACGAGAAGAAGCTATATCGGTATGAATTGAATCATCCACTATATTGCTATTTTGTATTACTTAAATTGATTTACTAATTATAATAAAAAAAAAGATTAAGCGATGCTAGCGGACAAATAAAATTCACTCAAGAAGCAACCGGTAGTATACGTAAATCACATTTCGATACAAATGATGTGTTTCTTTATGATGCTGGGTTCGAAGGTGAGTAGTGTGCATTACCAGTTTCTATATAAATCATATTATGATCAATAAATTAAAATGAATAGAGCGAATGATCATTTAATTATTTATTATATATTAATGATGATAAATATTGGCATATTTTTTAGTATTCATATGGGTCGGAAAAAACAGTACCGTCAAAGAAAAACGGTATGCGCTCGACTATGCTCAGGTAAAAAACCTATCACATATAAATCATAATTTCTACATACATATAGAAATAAAATATCCATTTTTTCTTCCGTTCTCACAAAAAAAAAAAGAAATACATCAAAGAACATGCACGTCCTGAATTCACTCCAATTTCGCGTGTTGTTGAAGGCGGAGAGAATGAAATTCTTGAAAAGAGTTTAGATCTGAATGTCTAATTGTAATCTTATATTTTGAATTTGTTTTTTTGATATATTTATATTTTATTTATTATGATTTGATTATAAAGGAAACGGAAAATATTCAGATATATCTGTGCGTAACAATAAAAATCTTTACAAGTTGTCTTGTAATTTAAACAAAACAAATAAAGCAATTACAACATGGTTATAATATTAAAAATAATTACAGCATGGTTATAATATTAAAAATAATTACAGCAAGCAGCTTTAACCCTACATCCAAATTCAAACAACTTTTCAATAGAATTATTAATCTAATCTAATGGATCTGTATAAAGTAAGGATATTATAGTAACAATTTATTATTTGTAATTTCTTAATTAGTTTTAATTTAATACCAGTTTTGCGATTTCTGTTAGAGGAAGATGTGAATTTGATATTTTGTGTTGACAAGATGACTAGCAATGTTAGATTGTATATTCCAATATCATTTTCATCTGATAGTATTATTCTGTGCGAGTTATTATACTAATAAAATAAAGCTTGCCATGCAATATCTTCACTTATTTTGTGCGAGATTATTCAAAAACCAAAATGTGATGCATTTTATGCTTGACTCATAACTCTGCTGGCTTTTTTACACGCATAATTATAATTTGTGCTCGGTTCCTGATCACATGCAGATGACAAACCAATAAGGATGCGTAAATTTTTGATCAGCCCGGCCAAACAAATCCGACACAAAAAAATGAATAATGTTAAATGTGAAAAATACGGGAAACAGATGTCTAAATCTAACTTGAAGCTAATAAAAAAATGTTGGGAGGCAATTTTACGTACAACTGTGTGCTCTACACTAACCCTTACCCTAACCCAAATGCTAAAATTGACCTTTAATAGTGCTGAATCACGTGGCCTTTGACACAAGGAAATAAAAAATGTGAAAAATGTGGAAAACAGATATCAAAATCTAGCTTGAAGTACTAATAAAAAATGTTGGAAAAGCAATTTTACATATAACCTTATCCTCAGCTCTAACCCTAACCCTAACCCTAATCCAAATGATAAAATAACCTTTAACGTCAATTTTCCGTGATCACGTGAGCGTGGATTTTCGAAGGCCACGTGATCCTGCACTGTCCCGAAGCACTGTTCGTAGACTTCCCGTATTTCGAAAAGGATACCCTTATGTAACTACTCCAGCTCACCCACGATCGATTTTCCAAGCCACAACAATTACCCGAAACACTTCTCACTATTAAAGGTTAGGGTTAGAGGTTATATGTTAAATTGTCTTCCCGTTAGTGCTAAAAGTTAGGTTTAAGCTTTGCGCATTCTCATTGGTTTCGAGATCGTCAGGGATCGAAAAAATCACGTGAAGGGAAAATCGATCATGGGTGAGTTGGAGTATTTCCCTTATGTCAAGCGAAAAACGGGGTATTCCGATACTTGAAGATCTGCACGCTTTGATCGTCAACCAATAGGAGTACTCAAATTTTTGATCAGCCCGGCAACAGGAAGCTAATGCTCAAATCTAGCTTGATACACTAATAAAAGAGGTCGGTGAGGTAATTTTATGTATAGTTTCTCCACGCTAACCCTAACCCCAATTTTATAGTGTTAAAATTAGTATTTCCGGATCGGAGATAGTTCGGAGGCCGTTTTTGCTTGACATAAGGGTATCCTTTCGAAGATGGTGTAACTGGCTAAGAAAGTGATGAATAGATGATGGCATTAACACCAACACCAACATCAATATCACCAACATAAATAGTGTTGATTCTTTTTTTTCAAATGACGAAATTTCCATACACACGGAGTATTTATTTATTAACCTGAAGATCTGGTAATCTATTAGACTAAAATTTCATTGATACAAAGTTTAAACAAGCAACTCCTCGGCGTCCTTATCAATTTCGTCATCTGGTTACCGTTCCCATGAGAGGTTTTTTACTCGTGTTTTTTTAGTTGGTATATACAGTGAAAATCAAACAGGAGCGAATCCAAAGTTGTAAACTGATACCAAAAATTGGTTACTTTTACACTTTGCAATTATGGCTACGAAAATAAATTCTTGAAGGAAAAAGAAGAATTACCACAAGAAATTTTGCGTGCTAGCACGGAAGACCTAATAACCACACAATTATTAAAAACGAAATAAAGGTTCCTTTTTCCCATATTTATAGACTGCTATGATGTTTGATTTTCGAAAAATTTCCTATTGAACTTTTTGCTTGATATTGTTTCATGAATTCGAGCACATGCGTCTAATGCTCGAAAATGTAGAGAAAATAAGAAAAAACAAAGTCAATCTTGTTGGAAAACCGATCAAATCCCATTATTTAAGTTTAGTTTCTCGTAATATTGTAATTGATATATCATTATTTTTCGCTGAATATGATAAGATGGGCAATGACCGTCCACGCGGCAGGTATAGTATATTGTAATATTGTGTATCACTAAACCATAATTTTTTTTTGTAATATCTTTTTGTGATAAAAAATAAAGCCTTTCTTATTTAAATGGATACGATTCGCGTGTTAAGGCTATGGAGTTGGTGAGAAACCAACAGAAGATTATAATAATATTTAACTAACATGATTCATTTTGTATGGACCTCCAGGAACAGGAAAGACGCTATTGGTAAGGGCTTGTGCCGTGCAGACTCAACGTATCATTGATTGACGCAATAGGAACCAAGCGTTTTGAAATGTTAATTGGCACGTTGTTGCGATGAATTCAATTGTTTGCTTGCTTTAAGACGTCAGGCTACCGAATCGAGTTACGAAGAATTATAAGTCAATCATTTATTTAGTCTAAACTTATATTTGTATTTTTTTAGGAATTCAGGAAGATATGACCAAAAAGAAAACATCTTTGAAGTAAGATCTTTTTTTTCCTAACACTTAAATTAACAGAATTTGAATTTTTGATATCATTAATAACTATTATTTGTGTTTTGCCTTCACAATAAAACGAATCAATTCTTAAAAAGTGTAATTAGAAAACAAAAAATTTGTCTATTAATAAATTTGTTTGGCAGCCTAAAACGTTTGCGACATCCGAAATTTATATCCATAGGTTACGAAAAATACCTTTCACCAGTGCTTTCTGTTTTATTCAATATGATAAAATTTTTCCTTACACTCTTATGCTTGTTATGTATGCATTATTTGCGGTTGGGATCTGGAAAAATTGGCAGACATTTCTATCATCGATAATAATCACCAAGTTTCATAATGAAGAATGGGCAGGCACGGTTCCTTAGTAATTCAATGTGGGAGTTCGGTACATATGATAACATGCAATTGCTGACGGCGGAGAGGCCTTGATGACAGTGTTATTTTCTTCCGTTTTATAGTTGAAAAGTGGTGTTGAATTGCTCGTAAAAGAAAATTGTAAATCTGCGATTGCTTTTCATCGTCAGAAGGATACTTGTCTTCAGTATAATCGACTATCCCGATATTCAGGACAATTGTGTGCAAGAGAATTGATATAAAAGTTCTCGAAATTAATGTATGGAAATAATAAAAATTATTTTATTAATAATTATGTTTCCATAATCTATACTAAAGTTATTAGCGAAGTTAAATCAACAGATCACATGATTTTACTCACCTGACTATATGCAATAATTCCATAATTCCATAATTCCGCCCGAATATTGACATCTCGCTAACAGTATAAAAAATCTGGTGATATTAATAATATCTATCATGCTCTTTCTAAGTCAAACACTGCTGAGACGAAACCTCTTTATATCGACAATATTTGGCTGCACAAAACATATATTTTTATAAAGAAAAAATTCTCTTTTAATCGAAAACTTAGTCGAAATTAAAGTCCAACACCAAACTACCGTAATTTGCCGTTTAGAATACCCCGGATATGTTACATTCCACCAGCTAAAATCCGATTTGTGCCCGGGGAGTACACGGTACGGCAGGAGGGTATATTATATGGTGATATTCTATATAGAAATGATGATTATACCATCGAATTTTCGCGTTTTGGCTTTCGAATTTTTCGATTCGTCTGGTTATATATTTTTACATTTATATTTGTTGTTAATGGAATAGTTTCATATTTTTCGTTATTATCTGAAGTTGATTCGATATTCGTGGGTGATTTTCGCGAAACATCTAGACTTTGATAAAGCAGTAAACTGCCGTGAATAAGCACCACCCTATTTCAATCCAAAAATAGTAAAATAATGAACAACAGCGAATAAGCACCGCTAAATTTAAATTACAAAAAATATATCTAAATGGCGATAATTTTAAATGGTCCAGAAACGAGTACCACCCCATTTTTAGAACCCAAAAAGTGGTGCTTATTCACGGTAATCGAGTTCAAGCGAGTTGTAGAGTCATTAATACTATTTTATTATCACTATTTGCATTTCTGTGAGTACTACTATTTTAATAAAAAAAATTCTGTTTACAATTTGCACCAGTGGTAAATCCATTGCCATTTTTTCACTGTAGGGGAACGTGCTTGTCGCTACCCACATTAGTACCAGAATTCAATAAAGCGGTCAATGTCTGTAGCGAATTGCTGTTGTTGTGGAAAAAGTCTGAGTGCACAGAAAAAAGGAATTTGGTTTAAGGTTATCACGATGGGTTAACTCTCGAACTTCAAAATTTGAATGACTTCAACATGGAAGAAATTAACCAAAAGAGACCAAGAATTTGCTTCAAGCAAACAATCTCTTAAATACATGGTAAAACCCTCCCTCCCTAAGACGAAACCTCTTTACATCGATAAATTGATTACAAAAAATCTTCTTTAAATCGAAAACCTCTCTTAGTCGAAATTCCCGAGCTAATAGACTGTGGCTTACTATGTATATTTATTTGTATCGAATTTTATTATTTACCCAATATATTTCAAAAATAAGCAATTGATACTCTCATTTTCATATAACTTCTGAAACATGTCCAAGCTTTCTTCAACTTGTAAATTATTGGATCATTAGTTATTTAAAAAAAGATGGTTTACAAAGTGAGTAAAATGTAACATACTCCCCTTGTAATTCTGGTCAAATATAGGCTAATTCTGGCTGAAACTATTATTTCTATATAGAATATCCTCATATAATATACCCTCCTGCCGTAATGTGTACTCCCCCGGGTACAATCGGATTTTAGCTGGTGGAATGTAACATATCCGGGGTATTCTAAACGGCAAATTACGGTAACTACTTAAATGCTTATAATAAAATCTACAAGAACTGCTGATAGAACAGTTGTTACTCGTTTCACATACAGCAACTGTCGAAACTTATATGTTTTGGTGTTGTGTTATACACACTCTTCAATTCTATACTCATCATCTATCAACTCCCTCTACAAAAAAAGTATTTGCCACATATTTCTCAAGGTTGTCTCTACAGATTATAATCAAGTTAGGCATTCATCAAGTGCTTTTTTACGATAACTACGATTTGTGAAAAGGATAAACCCTATCGCTTCGAAAATACCTGTATTTTCGAATTTTTCCATTGCTTTATTATACCAGCGAATTACCTCTGATGCAATTACCCTACCCTTTGATTCCGGTGGATAATGTTTTGTTTGCTTTAGCAATGCAATCTAACCTTGCGGCAGGAATGAGAATCAATCGCAGGATTTCCAGTATAACAAAGAAAGACCGTTGATAACAGAATACGAATGTACTTCCGAGTTCTCGGAATGCATTGAGTCACCTCTTGTTCAACTGACGGTTTAATCTTGCACTGCAAAATATTTACATTTGCATATGCATAAGGAAATTACTCCTTTATTTTTGTACCGCTTTCGGCCCAAATGTACTTCCAGTTTCTCAAAATTTTGCCGGGTCCACTTTCGACAAAGAAAGGTGAGAAGGTCAGATGGTAGTACTGACACATTGTTGTTTAATTTCCACAAAAGGATATACGGCACCATTATTAAAAATCGACCGTTTGACAAAAGAGGATAACAGAAAATCCCATAACGATTAAGATCAAGGTAAGTTTCTGAAAGTTGAGTGCCATCAGAAACTGATGTTCCGGTAACAATGCGTCTTATAAGTTCTCTGAGAGCTGACTTTGGGAAGGTTGCTATATCTGTTGTCCTATGAACGAAACACCCATCGAGTATTGGGAAGCTTTGAATGAACTTTTAAAAGAAAAAAATATTACATTTTGAAACAATCATGCTATAACATTCCGAAACTCTGTTGATCATTTGCGACCCTAAATTATCAACATCCTGCATTTCGAAAAATTGCCCAAGCGACGCAAATCTAGCCACCCCACCAATATCGGATATAGATATACGAAGTTTGAACGGAGATTTCTCCAAGACATCCTCGGGAATTCTCAACACACGGATAGAAGCATCAAATGACAGAGGCAGTGTTGACGGAATCTTTGCAGAATACCGACTTCCAATAATTGTTCTTTAACATCTCCACCAAAGATCCCAGATAGGATAGGGACAAGGATAACGTCCTGCTCAGCAGCGCTACTATTTTCTATAGGTTCGTAATTGTAATTTCTAATTTGAATAATATTGGACTGGGAATTGAAGAAATGCTCCATTTCGATCTGACAGTCATCTTTCCATATTACAACGCATAATGTCTCTTTTATCTTTATATTTTTCCATTTTTCAGTAACAATAACTTTAAGCACCTTGGCAGCCTCGTTAAAAGCTGCCAATGACTCTTCACTATGATTGCGCAATAAATTCAGACAGACTTAAATCTTCTACGCCATAGTATGCAGTAACCAGAGATAACCCGAGCCATTGATCTTCTTCGCATAAAGCTTGGTTAAATGTGTGCCAAATCCAAGACAAGAGTATATTTATTCTCTTTGAACATTTTTATGCAGCATTGCGCTACCAACCCTGTTTTGACAATTCCATTATAGTTCTTAGAAAAAATTTCATTCACAGCATTTAGTCCATCCTCACGATCCAAAAGCTCGTTTGTTACAATTCGATTAACTTCACCAGTATTTAGATTTTGTAATAGCTGCTCCAGATCTACCTTGCACTTTTTGCCTGAATTGAAAATGGAAAAACAATGCAGGAACTGAAGGGAAAAAATTAGGTTAAATAACGTCGCAAACAGTGTACCAAACGTTTACTCAAATGAATTGATAGAAATTGCGAACATGCCTTGGGATTTTCTCTTGGTGAGGCTTTTCGCATCAATATTAGAAGTACCAAGTTCCTTCCAGTCTACCTTTTGTCCATCCAACAAATCAAGTAAGGGAATGGGCAGAAATTAGGTGATTTCAATTTACTATACGTACGTATGAAGCTGATTAATTGCCGATCTAGTATGCATACATGAATCTTCGAGTTTTTTACTTTTATGCTAAACGATCTTTGAAACCCGTGAGATAATGCAACACATTCAACTTTAGCAACGTCAACTTAGCAATGTGTATAAATATACCCATTCTTGTAAAATAATAGAATACTGAATTCTCTTAGTATGTCTAAAAATACTATTCAAATATTACTATCTACATTAATAGAATCGATTAGGCGAACTCATTCCTAATACTATACGTAAAGGAAATGTTCTAAACAAGACTTCCAACGTATATATTATTTATCGAAAATCATGCGTCCAAAAAATGAAGGTTAATCGACTTTCTATTCCTATGCCAAAAGCTTCGATTATTCTCGCAGAATTATGGGCTAAAGAGCCATAATTAGTGAAAATCGAATATAAGCAAAAGAACTTTATAATACTCAATATGGCATAATCCCTGATCCCAAATTCTTCGCTTAATCCTATGACTGTTTTTCCTAATATTACGGTGTTGTCTAATACTACGACTAATACTCAATACGGCGTGATTCCCAAATTCTTCGCTCAATCCTATGACTGTTTATCCTAATATTGCGGTATTGCCTAATACGACTAATATTCAATACAGCGTGATTCCCGACAACACTTCGGATATGACGATGCTTAATCCTGTGACTAATACTATGAACCTGGAATCATTCAATGAATACAACTGCGACCATACCGAAATGAACAGGCTGACTTGGATTTAGATTATTAGTTTTAATTTGTATCAATTCTCCTAAAATCGTGGATCAAAATGGCTTTTTCTTTTAATTCACTCATTTCAATTCCGCAAACGATTCTTGATTCTTAGAGATACGATGAAACCTCCCTAAATGCACTTAAAGAAATTAGAGTTAGGATAATGTAATTATGCATTATATGATGTAATCATGCATCATATTGTTAAAATTTTAATTTCATTAAGGGTAGGGAGCATAACGATTAATTAATATGGCAAATTTGCTAATCAATAAAATAGTAGACTAGCTAGTCATGGCAGAAAAATTTCCAGATTCCGACCTCCGATCCCTATTCCGATCACACTATATCACGTGATGTTCTCATGTGGCATATGGGTCGAAGTTTAGAGTTAACTGGTAGCAAATAACAAATTGCCAATTATTATACTTGAATATTTGCTTAGAAAAATTAACATCGTGCAACAAATGAAACTATGCACGACACGTAAAATTGGTAACAAAAGAAAAAAGTTGGAGACACGTAATAAAAGAAAAAAAGTTGGAAATAGCTAATGGTTCAAAACTGTGATTTTTTTAATTTAAAATTCTAGCATTTGTTGATTTAAAGAAAATCACAGCTCTTGACTGCAAGTATCTTCACAATAATTATTGAAAAAAATTAATAACCAAAGGTAAGTGAATTTTTATTTCTTAAAATAATCATAATCATTTAATGTAATTTTTATTTTTATCTATTTTTTTCCTTTACAGGCTAATAATTTTTTTAGCATTCTGTATATTTGAATGAAAACTAAAAAATACAAAGATATTCAGTTTGTAAAATCACTTTATTAGAACAGGTAAACTTAACCTTATTCCAACACATATATAAAGAAGAACTTTTTTTTGTTACATGATCATATTTCATTATGCGTGATTATATTACCAATTTTTCTTTCATGTTCTCAACTTTTTTCTTTTGTTATCAATTTGTTATTTGCTATCAGTTAACTCTAAATTTTGATCTATATGTCACATGAGAAACTCTAAACTTCGATTATATGTTATATGAAAATATTGTTACAAGTTTGTTTACTAATCATTAAATTAGCTTACAAACTTGAACCTGAATTGGAAGAGAGTAATAGACTAATAAAAATATTAAAAGAAAAAAGAGAAATATCTAAGATCTATATCAATTATTACAGAAATTGTGTTAAGTAAAAAGAATAATAATATGTGAAAGTTATGAGAGAATAAAGATCAAAGAGAAAAGAGAGTATAAAAGAATAATAAAGAGAATTTAAAAAGCTAATTCTTTGTACTTGCATAAAACTTTTTAGAGCTAATTCAATATAATTAATAATAACAATAACAAAGATTCTTTTATTTTATTTTTCTTATATGTAAGAAATATTCATTAACAATCAAAAATTCAAATAACAAAAATTAAAATACTTAAAATTCAATTTTAATAAATCTAATACAGTGATTTGTTCAGTATAATATGATATAAAACTCAATAATCTAATGACAATGATTTGTTCAGCATAATATGATATAAAGTTCAAAGTTAATAATAGTGATTTGCTTAGCACAATATAATATAAAGCTATTAGTAATTTGTTAGATATAATATAATATAAAATTATTTATACATAAAATTTGAAGTATAAAAAAAAGTATGAGAGGTGAAAAATTTTGAAAGAAGATTTTTGTTAAAAGAGATTTTTATTTTCAGTTACAACATATCAAATTAAAACTCAGATAGTATTTCTACTTATATTGTTATAATATGATATTGAATTATATTTATTAGTATTTCTATTGAATAGTTATTTTTATTTTATTGAATAATTATATATTAGATATTATTAATTTTTAGCTTTGTATTAATATTAGTAATGCTGTTACGATTGAAAATTTCTATAATTTCTATAATTTTCATAATTTTCATAATTACTATAATTTTCATAATTCTTATAATCTTTATAAACTCTAAAAATATCATAAACTCCATATTCTTTATAATTTTTATATATAAATCAATTAAACGAATTTTTATTATCTTAATTTTTATAATTTTCATATAAATTATCATAAATGTAATATCTATTAGTAAAAAATATTATTATAAATAAAACAATAATGAGGCTTTGAAAAAGGCATCAATTGATCAATACAAAAATCTAGCTAGTTAATAAACTGCTCTTTGTTTATTGTTAATGAAATTTGTACATTTAATTAATTAAAAACAATAACTTATTAAAATACTTGCATTTATTGCGCACTATTGGATAACTGTCAAAGTTACTATAAAATATCAGTACTGTATTGCTATAAGACTGTCCCATACTAAGTAGATATAACATCTATTAGTAATAGTGAGAGCCTATCTATAAGATAGAAGAAAATACACTGCGTGGTGATTCTGAAGTATATCAACTACAACGAGATTGAATAACTGTAAAAATACTGTCATTAGACGTTAGTTAAACAATTATGTCACAATTATACTTACCAGGAGCCTAATCATAATACTATCATTCTTAATAAACTTTACTATAATTATCCTGGCCAAGTAACTTATTATAACATTATTAAGCACTCACCAGCTCTCCCAAGGACTCATATAATATGGTAACAATATTAGTAAAACTTATATTATATTTAGTTTGTTGATAGTATTTAGAGTTCTGAAAAAAAGTCTGATTTAGTTCAAGCTTGAACTAAACTTGAACCTGATCAAACCTAATTAAAAGTTTGGTTCAAGTTTAGTTTAAATTTTGAATCTGACTCGAATCTAATTAAAAGTTTGATTTGAGTTCAAGTAAATGTTTGTTAATATTCTAAGTAAAATTGTAAATTGTAATATGAGCTACAAATTGATATAAGATAATTAATATTTAGAATAAATATTTAAGAATTTATATATATATGAATTTAAAAAATAATTTTAATTATTATAATTTTAATTTGCTTTAGTTTTAGTATAATAAACATTTATTTTG